CTCTAGAGTGTGTTTTAAAAGTTAATTGTGTATCGACAACTATACCCAAGTCCTTAAATGTATCAGTTCTTACGGGGTCAACTTTATATGCATATGTGAGAGAATTTGAACAACGGCTAAAGCTTTTCTGGTAACATTTATTCAAATTGTAAGTAAGATTTATGAGGTCTCTTTGTAAGATTTCCGCACCGTTCTGAATAATTCAAGATCATTTGCAAAAATCAAATAACTGCTATTTGATATAGCTTCTGCAACAGCTTTAATAAATAAATTAAATAAAATTTGACCATTGTGGGAGCCTTGGGGTACACCTGAAAAGATATTGATGGTATTAGATAATAAACCAGCACATTATATCCCCCAAAAATCCTTAAGTAAGATTCCCCAAATTTTGTAGAAATCCCACAACATATCAAAGCACGATTGGTACTCCAGGCATCAAGTTTTGGGGTCGTTTCCACAGCACAAACAGCATTGCCCTAGTTTCTTCTGGCATATAGTCTCCATGAGTTGAAAATTGTTTTATTTTAGTTGCAACCACAATAGGTCGTTGCAACAATATTTTCAAAATGGTGATATTAAAAATTCCAAATTGTAGAGATCAAAAATATTCTAATAAAAGTATGTGTCCTCAACAATTCCTTGAAAATGGTCACAGAACTACCCAGAGAAACAAACTCAAAAGTCCAGAGACGTGCCAAGGCAAAGTTTGTAAGATATATTCCTCCAATTTTACTGATTGCCATCAAAAACGTTCACCACGTTAAAAGAGTTTGTAGGGTGTAGGGGGTATGGGGACCTTTTTTGCTCATAACTCCGCTTTCATTCATTGATATTCAGAAACAAAGCATGTCTTTCCCCAATGTCATTGAAATCTGTTCAGCAGTCTGATAGAGACCGACAGACAGACAGAGAGACCCAAGAAACTTATCTGCACATAAATGAAAATCTCTCAAAATACTTCGCTTGGTTATGCATAGTAGAAAAGAGTAAAGTTTATAGGGTGTAGGGGGTATGGGGACCTTTTTTGCTCATAACTCCGCTTTAATTCTTTGACATTCAGAAACAAAGCATGTCTTTCCCCAATCTCATTGAAATCTGTTCAGCAGTCTGATAGAGACCGACGGAAAGGCAGACAGACCCAAGAAACTTATCTGCACGTAAATGAAAATCTCTCAAATCAGTTCGCTTGGTTATGGATAGTAGAAAACATCATACCATTGAGGATTTTCCACTGCACATATATAAGCAGGCAATATAATATCTCCGAAATAACAGAATAAATGAATCAAGTCCTTGGGCTGTTGATAACTTAGAGTGGACCTAATAATGGAAACTCGGCAATGAAAAGATAAGATTATGTTGATGCCTCCCACCGAGTAGCGGGGATAGAAAAACGACTTGCCTGAATGGGGTCCCGAATAAAGTAGTTTATCAATTCTCTTTGTTTTCTGCTACTCCCGACAGGCTGCCTTTATATGCTTTTCACATTGACTGATTGAAATAGCTACATGTAGGAAAATGCTATTTGGACTTTAGAGATAAATGGATGAAAAAAGGAAGCGATTGAAACATGGCTTGTTTTGCGAGGAGAATTGGATTAGATGAGAAAGTGATAAAAGCAATATTTTAATGACTTGTAGAATTTACTCTATATTGAGACAAGTCCGGTATGGTGTTTTGGAGCTACACTATTCAAAGTTTTATGTAGTTTGCAGTAGATATAATTAAATAATTTTTTTTCTGTATAAATACTATCTGCATAAATATACATTCTACTTTTCGTATGATGGCTACGTCAAATATCTTAACCTACATAACACATTTTAGGCTGTTTCCCATTTTCTCTTCAAAGGGACAAAAGAAACGGCAACAAGTAATAGATAAATGAAATTTATGCAAGTAGGAACGTTCACATTAAGACACACTGCATGAGGTTAGCACTGTGGTGAAATACCTAGACATCAAATGAAAACTAACTTGCCATTTCACCAGTATTGACATATCTGCAATGACTATTATAAGCTCAAGATGTTCCACAAGCATGAGTTTCACAGGGTTATTATACAAATGCATAGATTTTCAAGAAATACTCCAAAGACAAGTCAGTTTCCGCATCCACATTGGTCAACGTGATTTGAAAAGTGACATTATGTCATTGTTTTGACATTATGTAGGTTTTCCAACAAGACGTCAACTTGAAACTAGCTATAGTTCACCTCATGCTCACTTGTAGCGAGCGCGAAACTAACTGTTTACACACTAGCCTGCTTAGTCAACAAGTTAGCATTTTGTCTTTTTTTCTTGACATTATGTAGGCTTATTTACATAATAACCCGGCAGCACGGTTATTACATATCTTGAAATGTGACATTATGTCGATTTATTTTTAATGTTATTGGTATTTTGTGAAATGTTGTAGGCCTGTCTACAAGATATTAAGTTAGCACTAGCTGATGGACACTTGTTTTGTGGTTGTACGTGTTGCCTAAACGTCATGAGGCTTCAGTTACCAATGTTGTCAGAGATGGCAATGCTGAAGGTCAAAGCTGTAAGCTGTATACTATAGCTAGAAGGAAACGATAATGCATAGGTGCATAGTGGGGATTTGAGTGCTAATAATATGTGTTGATGATAATTCCATTAGATTCTTGTCTCAAATACACTTACTCGAGATTCATAGCTAGAAATTAGTTGCGCATCCATTTTTTCTTATCCACTCTGGAAATTACATATGCAAATTAGATGAATTTCAAAAATAAGAGAGAGATAAGTAATAATTATATTCACTGTACACTGTCGAGTTACAAGTCATATACTCGAACATGCTAGTGATTTCCCGTAATTCTCCGTAATCCTAATTTATTACTTTGAACATAACCTGTATTTAGACAACATATAGAACAACATATAAATAACCTGTCGGGCACAGCTAATAGATATACTTCATTGAGAGCATATTCAGTAATGATTTTCTCACACAGCAGATATCACTGATTTTATACATATGCAGACCAATACCCATAATCATCCAGATGCGATCTTGCTATTCAACCAACTTTCTTCTCAGATATGCAAAACATATGCAACCAACAATTCGTGTAGTTGAGTCATTCCTCCATAGATGGACGCTCACAACCATCTTACGAATAGTGAGCAAACGTGGAATGACAGTTTGCACCCTAAAGGCTACGTAGTCTGCAAGATGACATTTTATAGGTTTTTTTGACGTTGTATAGGTTTTATAAGTAGCAATAAAAAACGGAGAAATCCTCACATTTGTGGAAGAAATTTTCCAACATCAATTTTTTTCATAATCGCTCTTGATGGAGGTCCCTTAATATGTATCAAGAGGTTACCAGACGGTAACTCTGCGCAAAATTTTTCAAACAAATTGAAGAAAATGTTTTTCTCTTACGGAAAATTGTTCAGATACCTTTGGTCACTGTGATTAAAAAAGTCTCTAGTAACTTTCTTTTAAAGCTGACCATTTTCGAGTTTTCTTAAATCATTGCTATTTAGCTGTTAATTAAACCTGTATTTGTTTGTCAGAAATATCTGCTGCTTGTACTTTGCTTAAAAAAAATTTGGAATAAGTTTGCACCGGTCGCCTCTTGATCCATGTTAAGAGACATGTAAGACCGTGATTATGAAGAAAAAGAATGAGTTGAAAAATGTTTTCCACGAATACAAGGTTTTCGCCCCCTCTATCAGATTTAAGATTAAGTTGATCTGAGTTGTACCAGCGAAATTTTGCACGGTTTTTCTCATATAGTTACGATGTAGTTTATTTCGTTACAAGATGTTCTTCACCTTTCCATGAGAAATAGTGCTACCTCTCATTTATGTTTGCTGCAAACCTCCCAATATTAATAAAAACTGATAGATATCCCAGGCTACTACAGGAGGAATGGAATATTATCTATCTAGATTTGAACCGAATGTGCACTTAGAAACATAGAGACACGTACTTTTTTAAAATGTACATATGTACATGTATATACGCGACTACTATCTGAATGCAAAGATTGGAAATCAATTATGTGATGATCTGAAAATTAGCTGTTGATGATTTTTCCAATTAGGCGTACAAAGTGGTTAGGGCAAAAGCATGAAACTATAGTTAGTCTTGACACCGCAACATCATTTCTTCTTTTTATACGTTAGCCACCAAGAAAGCTCAAGGCCTAAACACCAATGGGTACCGTGAGGCTATAAGGGGATACAGAGAGGGGGACCGCCACACGAACTCTGACGTGATAACACGTGTCCGTACAATGCACACTTTCGGGCTCCGCCTTAGAAATCCGCCGAGTGGTACCTCCACGTCAGATGAAGTATTTAGTGATATGAAGAACCTAGGTATACATTATTTTGCTGAAAACGGACATATTCACAAATGTACGTACGTAACAAACGTCAAATTAAACGTCTAGCGGTTACTCTACTGCCTCGTTTTCGAGAACTAACTTTATTTAGTGTCTATAGACAACATTGTCCGGATATTAAAGATATTACTGTGACTTGTGCCATCCGGCAACATCGCTGCCTATAACAGATGCCGCCATACGGTTTGTCAACTTTTTATGTACGGGATTCTATGCAGAGACAGTGAAAAAGTCTGTTTTTGCTTTTTTTATCTTTCCCTTCTGGGGTCCCACCGTGGTCGCTATGATAAATTCAGCTTGAATATCCAGCAAATTTCCAACATCATTTGCATACTGAACCGGAAGTTGAAGTACAGTTTTTGGTCGGTGCAGGCGGAATAATTTCCCGAAAAGTTAGTCATAGCAATAAATATAACCATGCTGCAGATTTTCCATTCAGCAGATCATGTGGTTTCAATAGAAGTGGTCAGTGAATGCAGAAATAAACTACGCATATGTAGTGTAATAAGCCATCAGGGCAAATATAAGCAGGATCCTATTCAGCCTGCCCCTGGGCACACAGGAGCTCTGGAGCTGCGGCTGAAATCGCCACAGGGTAGAATAAAAACTTACTTTGCCGCTGGGGCTGAGAATGTGCTCCTTCTGCCCATCCTGTAAACACGGAATATACTCGTATTTTAAGCGCATCCAGCACCGACCAACATTGGTAGTAAAACTACCGACCAAAATATCCATGGTTATGAAATACTCGCTTTCATTAGAACATAGCGCTACTCGAGCAGTTACCCAAATTAACGTAACTAAAATCAGGACAGCAAATATGGCGATTTGGAATACACAGTTCAGCAATAAGTCCAATAGAGAAAATCCTTTCAAAGATACCTATCGCTAGAATATTGTTGTGGGCAGATAAATCCAAATTGCCGTATCTATATGGCCGGAAATTTAGCCTCCATACTAACTAACGCGTTTGTGAATTAGGGTAGTACGAAGTTCGACATAGGATGGAAATATTTTGGATTTTTGAACTGTCACTTTTACGTTAGAATAAAGTATATCCGCATCAGTTGCATTTCATTTCAGCTTAATAGCTTCATCCTTTCAGAAATGAAGTAGGAGTCCTTTTTGGGAAGCTCTGTATATAAGACGAGCTTCTTGTCCGCGGCTCTGCACACGTAGATTTCGGTTTTATCGTAAAAATCATGTATTCTCCTAAAATACAAGAAAGTTATGTCACCTTCCAACGAATGAAATATATCAATGTTGTTGTCATAGCTTTCCCATTAAATGAAATCGTTTTTCATGAATGATGACAATCAGACTAATTATGCTTCCAACCATTGCAGAAATACAAAGAGTACTATACAAGTTTTGAAATATAGCCTTATTTATTGACTTCGTTCAAAGTAATTTCCAACTGATTCAATCCGTAACCAGCCTTGCAAAGGTTCACCCTGGAGTCTGTCACACTCGTTGTCCCACGCCCTCAGAAGGTCCTCATCGCTAGAAAACCATTTTCCTTTTAGCTTTATTTTCAAACGCGGAAACAGTGCAAGATCTGGACTGTAAGGAGGGTGCTCAATAAGTGTCAGTCCAGTAGTGGTTAAATACTCGGTCCAGGTCCATTCTTGACTTTGGCCCCAGGTTTTTCGTAGACTCTATGACTAAAGGCAGGCACTGATCCGCATATCACTTAGGTGTGAATGTCCAAAACGGCACGCTTCACAATCCGGCTCGATTTGAGAAATACAGCTATCATTTTTTTCTTAACTGATCGGGATTTGCTGACAGTTACGGGTGTGTCGTTTGTTTTGAGCCTTGGTCGGCACATCGTAATAATAAAGCCAATTCTCGTTACCTGTCACGCATACCGAGATTACCGCTCATCAAACATTTTCCGTATCTTTTGACACCAAGTCGGACATGCAGAATTGAATGAATTGCTGATACAAGAAGGTGTAATGTCTCCTCTATCTGTTAGTATATCACTCTCCGGTCTTCGTCAAGCATTTTACTCGCAGCAGTAATGTTTTCTCTGTTACTGACGTTCGCGGCCTTCCCTCCCTCTCAGCGTCCTCCAGAGTGAAATTGCCCCATTGGAACTCTCTGTACCACCTTCGTTCATACATAATGCTCTATCAGTTTCTTTTTCAGGAGCCGGGAGGGGGGATTCTCGAATCACACAATCGACATTTTTCATTCGACAAAACATCACGACAATGTTACAGATCTCTTCACCGTTCGACTGGCTTATGGTAAAGTAGGAGTTTGCTCGAAAATTCGTTTTCGTTCGTTGTTGACAACCATATTCCAACCTTATGCTGCCGTACAGTAGCAAGCTATGACAAGGACTATAAAAGTAAAACGCCAATACGAAAATATGTCGCATATGACACCGATGTTGAAACGAGAACACCAATTCTTTTTTCATATACAGAAACAGCCATGTAGCAGAACCATAAATACCAGAGCAGCTGATCCATGATCTATGACCCTATTTTTGAACTACCCAAGGTTAGTAGAACTGGGAAAAACTTCCGCAGGCAGATTGTTCCACAATAGGAACAAACAAGAGGTCGTACCGGTCAGTTCTGGATGTACGAAATTCGACATAGTTAAAATGGAAGACGAAAGTCAACTGGAACGTTAGATATTTTCGTGAAACATATCTCGAATTCGAGAATCAAGGACATTTTCCTGGGATGACATGAAGATAACAAAAGTCAGCTTAGTGCAAGACAGTCTCCCACACAAAGAGTTGCGTACCTCCGCACATCATTAAGATCGACCAAAAAGCGTCATCGTTGCCTTTTTTTATTATAGATGAATATTAAGACGGAATTATACAAAATGGGCCATGTCCCCTCCTTATTGTCTCCTCCTAGGGCTTAAATTTCTAAAAATGCCTAATCACGTTAACTTATATTGAGTATTTGTACCAAATTTTTAATGAATCAGTTCAAAAGATAAACCTCCCACCCTATTTTAACCCTATAGGGGATGAATCTCCACCAAAAATCGCTTCTGAGTTCGTTAGAAGAGCCTCTCTGTGAAATTTCAAGTTTCTGCGTTCAGCGGTTTCGGCTTTGCGTTAATATGTCAGTTAGAAAATGAGTACGTCAGCGTTATCTTTTATAAGAGAAGATGTCTTATACGTAGCGGCGTTTGCGGTTCATGGTTTGTCTCTGCTTCAATTAATGTGAGATCAACTCTAAGAATGCTGCAAACTCATATCATCAGGCTCTTCTCCACAGCCTTACAGCTGTCGCTGTACGTTCGTATGCATGCCTTGCCTTGGCGGCCGTTTCCATAAACCAAAAACCAACTCAGTAGGATATCGGCACTATCAATAAAAAACTTGCAACGGTATTAAAAAACAATGAAGCCGAAACTTCAGCGCTAATTCAAAAAGTACACCGCTTCGAATGCGACCGCTAGCGCTAGCTAGCGAAATGTATTTGAAGGTTTATCACCGGTGAAAGTTCCATTCATTCGCCATTTATTACAACTATTACTAGAGCTACTTTCCGCGGAAATGTTCAATGGAATTTCAACTTTACAACTTCATGGCTGCATTGGCTCTGGCGGCGGCAGTTCAACATAAAAGGTTGTTTAGTTTCAATGTGCGAGGTGACGCCAATGCTTTTAATAGTTTTAATGGTTCTCTTGGACGACGCTCTCTGGTAATGGTTACTGTTTTCGGTCGTAGTGAGGGCATGTATCAGTCAGCTTAATACGTTGAAATTGGGTGGATAGATAAAGGATTGCGGAATTCGACTTTCTCCCTTGGCCCCATCATCACTTGAAAGTATAGCGTAGATTTGGATTAAACTTTTACAGAAGGTTACTCCTATTCTGTGGACAAAAAAGCTTCGTTGTTTTTGAAAATCGGACCAGTCTCGATGGAGAAAAATTTTAACGAGGAATTAAAAACCGCTCAAACTTCGTTTGTTTAACGTTTCAGAGGATCCTGATCATTTTTGAGAAATTAGGGAGTGAGGGAGGTTGTAACGCAATTGTTTGATGTGACTATATTAATGCACTTCAAGCCCGTGTAATTCAATACTGCCATCATTCACCAAACATTACTGACATGCTCCTTGCTGCATGGTGTCCAATCTATTTAACGCAATTTTATAACTCAATAATACTTATGTATGCGAAATTAATATGCCCTCTTGTTCTTTCCTAGCACGTGAAAAGTAACTTTTATTGGAAATATGTGTACCAAGTTTCACAAAAACCAAAAATTATTTAATGACAAACTAAATTTTTACTCGAGAAGTATTAATCCTAGAGAGACTAAACTGAACCAAAAATACGTATGGTATCATTTTCTACTTCCTTCAAAACGCCTTTAATTGAAAAAAAGTTAAAATAAAATCCATGCCATCATATCTGCAACATGACTGGCTTGCAACCTGTCAAACTTGAGTATTTCTTCGGACAAAATATCCCGTAGCTCCAGAAGTAGCGGTTCAAACCTTATAGTATGTTATTATCAACCTTCTTCTTTTGAAGGTATATATAAGGAAATTAGCAAAATAGCATCGTTGCGTTGTCAGGTACTTATTAATAATAATTTTCGTACTTTTCTTTGATATCTGTCTATCTATCAACCGAGCATGCACTTAAAGCTGACCCTGTGTAGTAGCTCAAGAGATGGCTAACAATGGTGTGACCAAAGGTACGTAACACCTTGGGGAAAATTACTTTTCTAACTCCACTAGTTCAGTCATTATAACCTACAGCCTGCATGCGACGCCAAAGTGAATCGTAAACGAGGCTGCCGCGAAAACTATGTTGAAATATATTCATGAAGCTCGACGTCTGAGGCAGTAAGGCAGTAAACGACTCTGACCAACCTCTAATGGTCTGAAGTCGACAAATCTTTTAGATTATACACAAGTTTGTCGTGTTCTCAAACCGTGGACAAAAAGGAAAACATTGTCGGATTGACAGTAGAATACACGCGCAGTCTCTATGGTGAAATCTGCGCGTTTTGGTATGTTAATGCACAAATAGACTTAAAAATGCGCCACCGCTGTGTATTGCAAAAATACAGTGAGAAAAGGACATGCAAATAAAATGCGTATGATAAGATACATGAATTCCAAGGTCGAATGCATGGTAACATTTTTGGCAAAATAGGCAGTTTGCTAATCACAAAATATATGAAAACTTAAATTACTTTACATTACTCATACTATATTTATAAACACTTATTTTAGTTTATATTTACATTAAAATCGACTTATCCTCATTAATATTATTTTATTATTATTTTGCACGATACAAGCGCTAATATTTCAATAGGACATTATTCTAATCGCCAGTTCACGTACACAGCGAAGAGCTCCAAGTCATAAATAGCGGAAAATTAATTGTTCAAGCGGTAATTCATAATAAAGGTAAAATATGCAGGAAAAACAAATTGAGATTTCAAAAAGTATTCAACTCACACAAACCATGATTTTCTTAGTTGTATAATTATGTTGAGCAGGTCTGGCTTTTGCGCCTGTCAAGGTAGTAGGTGTTCTAAGCTCTGGAAGGATTCTCTTGAAAAATATAAATCATTAACTAAGCTTAGAATTTCATTAGACACTGAACTTGAACACATTGTGTTGTTCGTAATTCTGATGTTATTCAGATTCCTTGCTAATCTCCCATTTTCAAAAGCTACAACACAGATCGAACTACTTCTACGGGAATAACTGTGTACAAAATTTCTCATT